GTATTTTCTTTAAAAACTTCCTGAATTTCAACATTTGTGTTACTTATACTGCAACAGTAGAATGTGCAATACCCTGACTTACACTTCAGCACCAACGATGAGTTTCTTGCAGCTGATTCTGAAGGGTAGTGCAAGAGCCTGGATGACCCCTGTGCTCGTAGTGAAGACCCACCCGCTGTGTGAGCATAGTCAAAGGGAAAATTTGAAATCTGAGTTGAATAAAATACATTAACCAAAACAGTAAAAAAGAGGTTTTGCAAAACCTTTTTCAGTTGGCCACTCTCAAGGAAGAGACAAAAAAAGAACAGTAAAATCCCTTGTTATGCGTTTTAAATGCCTTTAAAATTCCTAGGGAACAACAGCTTAGCAATTAAAATAAGTATCAGTAAATTATGACACTAAACACAATTGCTTGGTTAGGCAGTTGTAGAAAATAATACAAATTGATAAGAGTTAAAAGGTGTGTATGGCCATTTTCTCCCTTATGACTCTGTATATTCTTTGTCAAGATGCTTGTTAAGATGTCAAGAATGCTCTTCTACAACTTATTATTGGGAAACTTCAGTCTTTTAGAAAAAAAATCCCACACAATACAGTAACTCTGCATTTAGCGGTTCACATGTGAACCCCACACATTTATTTGATATTAACTGACTTCAAAAATACTCAAATGAATTTTAAATGTTTGCATGAAATGTACCACAAAGAAAAAGATTTGACTTGAGTTTGAAACTCAAGGGCAAAGTTTTCTGGATGGGCTGTTAACTTTTGTGGAGAAAAAGTTCTGCCACTTCCACCTTAACTGAGCATAAGGAAAGCAGACACTACACACATGAAGCAATAATCAAGCACTTGTAGGAGGATTAGACAATCCACATTTTTACAAAACGATTGGCTGTAAAGCACTTACCACAAACTGTTTATTGGTTACCAAAGGAACCAGTAAAACAAATGGCAAAACTAAATGCCAGACTAAATGTTTACATGGAAAATGATGCTTTCTTTTGAATCTAAAAGGTTGGGAGTGCCACAGAGACGTCACCAGTGTAGTATATCTATTGCCAGAGGGATACAAATGTGCAAACATCTCAGCATCTCTTCTGTTTACAACTCTTACATATAAATCACATACTTCACATCTGATAAAATAAAGCAACTGCTTTTAGTTAACTAAAATAAATATTAAGAGTTCTTCAGCAACTTTCAAAACTGAATGGAGTCACATAATGGCCTGAACTCTAGCCCACTGACAAAAAAGGAAATATATTACCTCCAGATGACTGCTAGAGTGACAGGGTAAAACCTCTAGTCTTGTTATTCTCCTCTCAAGAGTTATACCAGGGCATACTAAAAGGAGGTGGTGATGGTGCGAGAAATGATCCAAACTACTGCATAATAACCTCCCTCAAATTAATGATTTCGATGGTGGAGCCCTATTTTCTGATTAGAATATGATCCCCAAACTCATCAAGATGTATATACATATTATGCATAAAGTTTTCTATACTGACTTATATTTATTTTGCAAATTCTAAGGAGATTAGTTGCTTAGAAGGATAACTCATTTACTACATACTACACTAAATATTTTCTTTTGTTCTGGGAAAAAGTTACACCTTCTAAAATGATCTGTCTGCAGGCTGTACCATAAATGTGGGCATATCATAGCCAGCACTGCAAGAACACAGACGTCTTTTGCAGCTAATTCAACTGGAAACTGAACAGTTAGCATACTATAAGCTCTCCAGATACATTCTCTCTCACTTGCTCTCACTATAGCAAGACAGAATGAACAGACAGACTTAGGTTGCTGCCAAAGAAGTTGTGTGAATCACAGTTCCTGAAAACACAAAATTAAACTGTTTAAAGCTTCTTTTTAAATACTTGCTGCAAGAGACCAGAATCTCTACAGTGCTATGGAAGGCATGAAGCCTTCTTGTGAAAGCACTATTCACTATTATATGTGAATCTGGTAATTAAATGAGACCATCTTAGCCACTAATATACAAAACATACTCTGTTGTGAGACATCCATTTTAATCAGATGTCTGCCTCCTGTTCAAATTTACGGGAAAACTGTTTGGCAATCAAGCTGGAAAATGGACACATGTTTTTCTCCACTATTTTACAAACAGAAATATTGAAGATTATAGCTGCTTTTATTGAGTCTTGCACTACCAAGGATATTTTAAGCGAAAAAAAGAGAAAACCACAGTGTCCCTGGCTAGAATAAAATGTTTACCTTCTTTTGAAGGAAGGAAAGCAGGAGTTTTTTTAGAAGATAAAAGTTGCAATGCTGAAAAGGAAACTCCATTTCCATCATTAACATAAGAAATTACAATTTAGGACCTGAAGATACTTTTCCCTGCACTTAATGTCCTTAATAGATTTTTGGAATCATTAACACAGTATTGGAGTTTTCCTTTGTACTTAGAAACATACAACAGCCTAGAAGAAGAAAGTATGTTATATGTGTAACTCAGCTAGACCTAGTTATAAATAACATTATCTTTTGTGATATCTGACTATCAGAGAAATAAAACTGATGATTGCCGTGAAGGGGCCAAGAGCTTTTAAGTTTTGATGAAATCTCTATATTCAGACTCCTATGCTTTAAACCATTGACTTGAACATGAAACTACCACCTAGACTACTTTCAGATCATCTCCTATCATTATAAACTTGCTGACTACAGTGGGTTTATTCCCGACTCATAATAACTGAAGTGGAAAGATGATTTCAGACTATAATTTGAATCCAATAACGTTGACACAGATACCTTAAGTTGTACTATTTTTAATTGTCCATGGTGAAATTTCTCATTACTCATATACACATACTTCAGACTAGAATTACTCAAGACCAACATATATCTACATCTTCTTCTATGAGTGTTGTGAAATAACCAATAAACCATTGCCTCCATGCTTAGTTAAATCTCAATTTGCTATTTTACCTTCATGAATTTATTTAATTTTTAATAAAGCACACTGGATTCCATTTAGTCACACAGATGCAAACCACTGAAAAAATGATTTAGGTATTACAAAATGTTGGTGGCATTCACTCTCTGTCAATAGATAAGAATTCTGCAGCTGATCTAGATATATATTAGATTGCAAATGTGTCTAGCTTTCAAAGAAAATACTGACAGAAAAATGGAGCAATAGGAATGACTCTAGACTCAGCTTCTAGTTATTATATTAACTCTCATTTTAACAGAACAACCTTACAGAATATGTAGGGGCTTACCCTTTCCTAATACTGCAAGATACCATACAATTACATATTCGGTCAATATGAACATCACTCTGAACATGACTTCTCCATTACAGCTGAGCTCACTGCAGTATGAAGTCATACTGCTGGCACTGCTCAGGACAGTTTCAAGGTTCTTGTTTCCATCTTTGGAACTGTATTTTTAATTGCCTTTCAGTCAGAACTTTCATAATCTTCCTAATGGAATGTTAGTATCAAAACCCCAGTGCAAAACATTTAAATGTAAGTAGTACCGAAGTAAAAAGTTAAAAAGACCACCTGTATGTCTTCTTCAAATATGAGATGCAATATCTTAGCTTTAACTTTCAAGTTTAAAAACTCTTCGTAAACATCAAAGAAATCAAAATCGCAAAAAATCAAATTTCCCATATAAGTAAGAAAGTGCTAATTAGTTAACAACTACTTTTCAACTTACCTATTTTAAAAATGATTTCCTCCCTGTGAACTATTTCCTTACCTTTTACCCAACAAGTAACTGTACTGAGCATTGAGGGGCAGGTGAGAAAGGAATTCCTGAAGAAATATTTTTCTTCCAAGGTTATTACTTCAGCACATTTTATTCTTTTTTCCCCTTAAATTTCTGTTCAAACTGATCTCTCGAGCACTTTTAATTATTTTGCACATCTTTTAAATTTCTTCCAACATGCCCGTCTCTTTTGGGGAATTACCTCTACTGCTCTGTGAACTATTGCTTTTATATATTGAACTTTAAGCTCTTTTTTGGCTTTATTTGTTCCCTCTAACAGCACAACTTTCACCCTAAAATATCACTATTTACCATAACTGGAAATTAACAATACAGCACCGAAGTTCATGTCATCAATATTTTTTTTTTCTGAATATGTCATTATTTTAAGCAAAACATGAACTAGCAAAACATGTACTAGCAAAACAGGACAATGTCACTACCACTAGCAGTCTCCACAGCTTGTTCAAAGCTATAGGTGTTCCACACAACTGAATGATCAGGCACCTTATTGTGTCCAATGAGGAAATGTTAATCTGTATGTACAACGCAGGAGAACATAGCTTCTTTTAATGTTACCTACTAAGATAGTCACTCTTGACATAATCTGAACTATCAAAGAAACTACAAACATGAAACATGAGGAAAGGTGATATATCCATGCCCAGAATTCATCTATAAGCCTGGCATTGCATTGAGAAGTAATGAATCTAACTGAAACACTGAAAAAAGATACAGATAAAAATGAGATTAAACTTGGCTTCTTAAAAATGTTTCGCTGTCTATAAAAAGCTGTCCAAATTCAAACACTTCCCCACACTCTACTGCATGCATACACCAATATGTTATTGTAGTGTTGTTCACCAAATGGTTTTGTTACACACCAGCTTGTCCATGATGGCTGAGTTGCATGCAATGTCATTATTTGGTGGTTGAATCATTAGTAGAGGCAGACAGGTTTTGAAGGATTTGCTTTCCAAACAACCACTCCCACATCACACACACTCATTTTTATGACTCTCAGAGGAGCAGTGCTGTTCCAGCCAAGGAGATTCCAAAATCAGGCATATGCATGAAGAAGCATTGGTTCTTTGACAATACTTACAAAAAATTCCTAATTGCAGCAAAACCACATTTTTGAAATTGATCCCTCCAAAAGTCATTTGATAAAAAACGGGTTACCCTATGAACTTCAATGAAGGATTTTTGTAACTAAAATTTTATTCTTGTTCAAAATTTCAAATAAATTTTATACCTGCGAGGTCTTCTTTGGAGGAAACTAGTCGTGGAGAGCTGTTGCCTGGCTCAATTCTTAATGATAATCTGTAAATACAAGATTTTAGACAAATTAACATTAAAAAATCTTAACAAAACAAAAAGAAACTGAAGAAAGTAATTACTGCAGCAATGGTACACAAGAAATTTACTTCTTCGGAAGTGTAGTCATTTATCTCAATACGTAATAAAACAAGCCCCTCAGATCCAAGAAATAAATGAGAAGGAAAGTCTATGAAAACAGATATTGAAATCGGTATTTTTTATTTTCTATCAGTATAAAAGTATAAGTTAATATATTTCATCTGAAAAAAAAAATTCCAGAAGTTAGTAAATTTGGATGGAAACATAATGAACATTTTTTGTCTCTGTGCATGAAAAGTTGAATTAATTTTGTTATCTTGTGGAATTGTACAATCAGAAATAGCTAATAAGAAATACTAGTTACTATGACTTACAGAAAGGCGGTATAATAGGGGAAAAATGCTAGGAAAGACCCATCAGGAACAACATGTTCAAAACAAATTAATGTTCAAAAAAATCCACAAACTTCTTTCAAATAAGACAGAAGAGGAAGGGGAGAGGTCTTTATGGACAGATGTTAGAAGTTTTGATGAAGATTGATTTAAAGCTTTCCTCCTGATGAAACAAACATGGTAGAATAAAGTCAAGGTTTTTTAATACAGAGCAACGCTTATAAACTTCAGCTAAACTTACTACACTAGCAATCAAGCATTTTGCCCATTTCAAAACCTCTTAGAACTGTAAGCCTGGTATAGTCAGGCTTAGGAAAAAATACTGTACATTTGATCAAGATATTCATTCTCACAAAAAATGGATCAAAAGTACTGCATAATCTCATGCAGTCTCATGCAATACATCAAATACCTTTATGAATTATTAGCAAGACCCCGATGGAACTAAAATAGCTTTCAAAAACTTAAGCTAGAAATATGACTTTTGGTTTCTTCAACTGTTATGTCATGGTACTAAATATTTACAAAAACCATTTGTTTAATACACTTAAAAATATTAGAACTAATGAAAATTATTGTAGATATGTCAACATTGCTAAATTATCAGGTAAAATTAAGCAATATGACCAGTTTCTTGCATCTAGTTCAAGGCTGTAAAGCCTGTATGAATTACAATGTTGATATTTCTCAATTGCTACTTAGTTTAACTTTGCTCTATGTTCCCTACTTTTATGAAGCATGGAACATGTTGGAAATACGTAAATAACAATCATTTATTAAATCCTAATACTCAGATACATTTAATACAAATCTTGGACTCCCCGATGTTTTTACAAAACCATGCATAACGCAGCTGTTCAATATACTTCTGTTACATAACTCCTCCATTTGTGAAACACAACGTCATAAGCTGGAAAAAAAAGAATATCAGTGCCATATTTGATTTGTCTTTTTATGGCTGTATCTCATTGGTGATACAGACAGCATCTGATCAATATCATAAATTATTGGTAGAATAAATTCATATCATTTTCATATCATTATTATTTGGGTCACCAGGTCATCCAGTTCTTCCTTTGTGATATCATCTTTCAATCACCTTTCACTTGATCATCCTTTCCAACACTTTTTTTTTCAGCAAATGGCCTAAGTATAAACAACTTTTGAGACAAGGTTCTCAACTGAAATATTTAGGAAAACTGGAAATAAGACTTTTTTTTTTAAAGGAATTTCATTACGAACTTTCCTCTTCCAAACATCTTGCTTAGTACCATCATACTAACAAATCTCTGGTTGCCTTGATTACTTATTTGATTACTTACCTAAATAGAGGTATTATGTTTGTCAGTCCCTAATTATATAGCATCACACCTGCCTTGGTTGAGTTATTTAAAAACTTGCTACCAGACCTATGATTTAATGTGCTAGTTCTTTCAGAAATATTACAGCAACTCCAAGCAAATCCCCAAATCCCTTCTATCAAAGGCTTTTTGTTCATGTTTTAATCAAAATAACAGACAGGTGATATTTCTATTATGTTGCCCAAATGTGAGGAAAACAATGGTACTTACTTATAATTATCATCTTCCACAAATTTCTGAAGCTCTTCAATATAACGGACAGACTTTAAGTATTTCTGCACATGGGGTAACGTTGTAAGATGATCTGTAGAATATTAAAAAGATAAAAAGATGAATATGCACATCACAAAAACAAATGAAATCATCATTTAGTAGGCATGGTGCTGATGGGTTTATGTTTGGACTTGATGATCCTGAAGGCCTTTTCCAACCATAATGATTCTGAGCATTCTAAGCATTATCCTTCAGTTTCTTCTGGTTCTCACAGTTATCTTAAAGGAAACAGAGAATGTGAGCCATTATGAAGAATAAAATGGCTACAATTATTATTTTTTCTTTGTTATGAGCATGCTAAATATTTGATCAAGCAAAATTTATGCCCAACTGTTGAAGACAACACAGAAGCATTTTATCATTAGGAAAGCTAGAAGATTTATTATGTGCTATCAATTCACAAGTGTCAAAGTGTTATTTTTGTGCAAGCTTTGATTTGACTGCGTTAGAGAAAATCAAAGCATGCAGTCATGTTGCTATATCTGACTTAATTTTAATGCTTTCCTAAAAACAAATGTTTTAAAGGCACTCAATATTCCAAAAATGTGACTAAGCACAAGAACATTTACGATATTGAAGTCGACATGGACAAGGGCTGGCATACTTAGACATACATGAGTAATTTCAACAAAATGGTAACGAAATTAACACTCTGTACACTCCAAAGTCATTGTACGTACTGCAAAAAAAAAAGATCTTAAGAAGATTATCTCATTGCCTCTGGCAGAAACAGAATATAAAGTAAATGTAAAAACTCCCCTTGAAATATGATATTTTTATTTCATATGTTCTTCCATTGTTCTAGCAAACAAATTTTGTATAATGTCTATTACTGTTCCCAGAATTTAGAACACATATTCATTTGCCTAATTTGCCAGCAAGGTTGAAACTGCACAGTGATGGAAGCTGAATCATTTAGTAGCCCTCAGCTCTTGTTAGCTCTTGTATTGCTTTTACATGAGGCAGAAACCTCTTATCACATCGTATTAATGAAATTTCAGTTAAGACCAAATACGTGTAAAAAAAACAAAAAAAAACAAAAAACTACCAACCATAGTTACAGGAGACTTGCAGATCAGCTATTATTCGGAGAATATTGTTCATTTGGTTGGATCTTTGTTCATTCTCCATGATGCTGCCTGAAGCAGGGTATGCAGAATCAATGTAGATTAAATCTAAGAGATAAATACCTGAAACAAACAAACAAACTCACCAGTTGACCTAGTGTTTATACAGAAAGATTTACAGTATTGTCAATAAACAGAACAGCCAGTAACCGCTGACCATCATTTTGGGCTGGTCACATAAAAAAAAAGGAGAGATTGGATCTTGTTATGTTTAATTCTTACTTAGAATTTACATTCTATGACTCTTCTTAAAAAAAAAATAGTGGGTTTTGATCATACACATTGATACAGGATAATGTCTACTATGAAGCATTTGCAAGACAATAACAGTGACACTAAAAAAGTAAGAGTAACAGCTCCCATGACCTACTGATGACAGTAAAGGTAATCTCCATGAAGTTGCAAGCAAGTACAACAGTTATTTGGCCACAGTGAATAGAGTTTTCTACTGCACTATAGTGCTTTTCTATGTCTGCCACTATTTACTTCATTTTGGTAATACTATATACTTTTGCTGAGGTTCCAGGCTGCATTTGCTAAAAGACAAAAAGCAATCATATTTAAGCTTTGATTTAGAAATGATAAACAGGAAAGTTTTTTATCTACTAAATTCTTTATTGAAAAAAGGTATAAACACTTGGCCTTAGCTCTGGACATTTTGCAAATACAAGATTATGATCACTGCAGTTACCAAAAATTCTGCTTGTTCTCCTGTGAATTGCAGGATGGAAAAAGGCAGGCTTAAAGAACTAAATAAATTCACAATACTGCAAAAAATATCTTGTAGACTGCATTTATCAAGACATATAATCTCACTTTCATGCATGCCATTATGATATGTAATGAGCTTCTTTTATTGCTCTGGGACAGTTTAAAAGGCATTACAAATGAAGAACAACTATTGACTGTGAAGCATATACAACATAAAATCACCACTTTTAGGAAAAATGAAACAGCATGGAAAATTCATGTAAAGTTTTAGCTATGAATTTTGGAAACTTGAAATATAACGGCAAGCAGCCTGCTTTTGGCTCTCGCTCGGCATAATGGTATCTTTATTAAATGAGAATTAGAATTTTACCTGGTGGCATTTTATCTTTGCACTGGCACACAAAAAATGCTGAATGGTGTAGATAAAAAGGGACATACAGAAGTCATCTAGTCCAAACTCCTGTTCAAAGCAGGGCTAAACTGAAGTTGGATCACACTGCTCAGAGACTTACAAAGTCACGTTTAGGGATGGAGACTCTTTAACTTTCCAGAGCAGCCTGGTCTAGTGCTTAATCATTTTAGTATTGATTATATTTTTTTTTTATATTCAGTTGTAGCTTCCTATGTTACAACTTGTTACAACTGTTGTTGTACATGTACAACTACGTACAACAACTATATACAACTATGTACAACATGTAAAACTATGTTAAAACTGTTGCCTCTTGCCCATTTGATACACACCTCTGAGAGAATCTGGCCTGTCTTCCCTATAGCCCTCTGTACATGGCAACAAAATGTGTAGTAGAGATTATCATGAATTGGACCCACAGAACTGGAGAACTGCTGCTTGTTTTGATCCTACACAAAATTTGGAGACTAACAAACAGGAAATGCCATTGCACTGAAGCAAAAAATTAAACAACAGCAAAGAGAATTAAAACAGCTTCAGAAAATGATTTTAAGAACTAAAAGGAGGTCAGCCAGAGACAGATTTCTGGCTTTTTACTAAATCTATTACAAGGTAAACATAGGCAGTTATCAAAATGCTTTGGCAGAACTATTATTAGTATCTTGCTGATTGTTTACATATTTCTTTTACATTTCGCCTGTGAAATTAGACCAAAATACTCCTCAGCACTGTGTGATAAAATTTTGATTCTGCAGAACTGTCTTGAAATGGCAACAACTGCACGGAAGTTCACAGCATCTCAGAGATGTGGGCAGGACTGTCTCAGACACAAAGTCTGCCTGTACAGCTTTCTAGGGATGTGGAATCTGAAGCTTTTTATGCTTTCTATAACCATCCACAGCTTTTTAGCTTTGCTTTGTACCATCTATTTAAGTGTTGAGTACAAAAGCACTGCAAACTCACAGCTGTTTTTCCAGTTCTGAGATCACAACAAAGTAAGTTTTCAGCTCATCTTAAGTTAGCAGGCAGGCTCAAATAAAATGCTCATTGAAGAAAAGACTTTTGTATAAACTTACTGCACTCAGAATGAACTGTTCAAGTCTTGGACTTACACTCCCGGTACCAGAATATCAGGAGCTCCAATAGATTTGATATTCTAGTGCTACTTGCTCTTCCATCTCCATTAAAGCAAATCTGATGGAGAGGCCATGTTTTTGAAACCGATCTGCTCCTAAAACCTAAAATTCCAAATTTTTAGTTTGATAGAGATAATTCTTTTATCTATAAATTTGAGAAGAAGAGTTAGGAAATGCTGTACTTTGGAAAGCAAGAGTAATATAATAATTAATTAGTATTTTTCACTACGGTCAGTATACAGAAAATGCTCTGTAAAAACCTGTGCAGTAGAAATCCAAACATTGCACAAATCTTTGCCTGGTTAAGTGCTGCTCTGCAATTTCTGACTCTAGCATTTAGCTAAAAAGATAAATGGCATAGTCTCCATGGCTCAGATGTCATTGCACCACTCTCTCTGACCTCAGTGATGCTGGAAGGAAAATTCTTTATGAATGCACTGAGAAAATGCTGCACAAAATGTACTGAGCCTACTGTGAATGCTGTATTCACATAGTCTGAATAGAAATCACTGATTGACTTGGTGATCACTGCAGCTATTTCAACACTGTCAAAAACATTAACTACCTCTGATCTTTCTTTAAAGGATTGCTCAGACATTTAGGGTCAGATAAAAAGCTGAATTTACTTTACTATATTCCTGAAACATTTTGCACTGCATAGCTAAGTGAGTGATTCTTTGTTGCGTAACAAAAAAAGGGAACATTCTGTTGGGTAGGAAAATAATTCGTGCAACATAAAAAGTCTGCCATACTTCCATAAAAAGTTTTCCATTTTCTATTTTGAGCATGTTTACAATTGATGAAATTCTCCCCACATTTTCTTGCCTTGCTTTGAAAAGAATACTATACAGCTCAGAAAAATAGCTAGGTGGCTCAGTTATACTCTTGCAGCTTTATCATGTTAAATTGCCCCGATGAATTCCAATTATTAAAACAACAGGAAATACAATCTGCTAGTCAAGTGCCACACAGAAAACTACTGTGGTGAATTGCATGCAATGCAAGACATCTAAGCAACACAACCCTTCCAGGGTACTCTGGGCATGCATGCCCTAGCTCAGCTCTCTGGAAGTGTATCGAGTTTGGGCAATGAAAACAAAATTCCCAAATCTGTATTTGGGAATACAGATTTAGTGTAATTTTTTTGGTAGGAACTGCACCTCAAATCTTTTCAGATTAAAGGGGGGAAAAAAAGGGAAAAAAAAAAGACGACAAATATGTCTAGTACTAAGTCTTATTGCCATCATCTAGAACTATGAATTACAGATCAACAGCAATACTCAGGTGAATTTAAGAAAAACCAGGTGACAAGATCTCCACTAATGCTTCTCCCTGAGACCTTACAAAACTTTTAGTCACTGGAGTTGGGCTTGAACCAGTTCTGCTTCTTCAGATCTCTGCCACCTTGACCAACAAACAGCTCACTGGGTCACACTGGATTACGTCCAGCAGCAGCTAGGCTGCAACTATCTACTTCCTTTCTTTAGTACTTAGCCTATTCGTTCACATGTTCTCCAAAGTCCTTCCACAGCATAGTAACGAATGGGTGAAGAAATTACACAAATTGTCAAAGAAAAACTAAAAAACAAAATGCACCAGATAAAATCTAGATTAATTTTTTGTACTATTGATCTTAATTATTTCTTTATGGCAAACTAATTTTTCCAAGCTAATATGCAGAAGAGGACCAGAACAACGGGATGCAATGGAAACAAAAAGAGATGGAGTATTAACATAGCTTCTGTGAGTTCCAAAGAAGAGAACAGGAAAATGGTCGGGATAGATTCTAACAGAGAAATTAACCTGAATGCAGAATGTTGGGATAAAAGGAACCCTATTCTTTGTAAACAAACATCACCTACACCTAGTCAATTGTGTTCTCCTTCCTCCCTCCTTTTTCAACAAATAAATCTTTTAGTATTACCAGTCTTGACCTTGGTTTAGACTCTTCTTTAAACTCTTGGCATTTTAGACTTCTATAAATATGATGTGATAAGAATAGTTGATGAGAATCAATTTATTTCACTGAGAGGAAAGATAATTATTCCCTCCAGTAAAAGACTTTTAAGACAAGCCTCACAAAGGAGAGGCTCAAGGTTGCCATATGCCAAAGAAAACACACAGTGCTAGCTTTTCAAGCCCTGGCTTACATTTCTGCTACTGTGCACAGAAAAAGTTCTCTAAGATGTGAAGCCATCAGGATATTTTCCAGAAAGTGAGCTCATGGGCAGCTGCTTTCACAGGCAAAACATTTTCCAGCGATTCTAACTTTTCTCCATTGTTACTAAAACTAATTTCCCAGCTGGCTATATGTGGACAATACAGCATCCATTAATTTATGGTATCATGGAAATATTAACACAGAATAAGCAAAAGCATGGCCAAATAATATACAATTAAATGAATCAATGGAAAGTACACTCCGTAAAATGGAATGGGCTATTTTTTAAATTGGAAAAAAAAAAAACCTATAATGCCTAGCTTTTTTTTTTTTTTTTAATCATAGTGGGAACTTAAACAAGGCAATAACACCACTGACAATTTAAAGATAAGAAAACTGAGGTACAATAGGAAAGTGACCCTGAAAGGCTGCAGTCAGTGCCAACCAGATCAGAATTTTGAGTGCTCCACTCACTAGACAACTACTTCTAGGACTAAACTTGACTGAAAAACACTTAATGGAGAATTGCAGAGTTCGGCAGGATGCTGGAGTCTATATACTTGTGTCTTTTGATTCACTTTTGATTAAAGTTTTCTATTATTCTCTTCATTCAGTACTGAAGGCTTCTGTGAAGGAGAAACTT